ACTGGAGCACTCAATCTGGTGCAGCTATGCATGGTAGCCAATCAGCTTCAAGCTTCAGCTTGTTCAATTAAGCTTTGGCAATAAAATCTGGAAGCTGATTGGTTTCTATGCACAGCTGCACCAGATTTTGCAGTCTCCAGTTTTAGTAAATAAACCCATGTGTATCTAGCCTAAGTAATATTATAGTATAAGTACCTAAATCTGATTGGGTATCAGCCTCCTGCAATGCACTACAAATCTCCAAGTAAAAAAGGAGCCAAGAAGTTGTGATGCAGTGCTCATGTGCTAACATGCTGATAAAGGGGAAAAGCAGAGCGAGAGAGAGATGAAATTATTGATTTACCCCTGGTTCACATCTGTGCGGATGGTGCCGCTGCGGATCCGCGTGAAAATCTGTGCACCACCCACACAGAGAAATGCGGACCCGTGGGAGGGTGCCATTAATTCTAATGGCACGCCGCCCGCACTGGAAAATGCAACCGTACTAGGAACCGAGGTTCCCACGCGGCCTGCGTTTTCCAAAGAAGTGCAAGGGCTTCTTCCCTGCGTGTCACAGGCACGGGAGTCCATGCAAATGAATGGGCTCTTGAGCCCATGCAAACGCGGCCTGCACGGTCACATATATGTGAACCGGGGGTAACTGCTTTTTCTTCACTACCCAGTTACAATTTGGGGGCAGGGGAAAAGACCTAACTGTATCATTTAAATGCAGTAGAGGAAAATCAGGTCTTCAAGAAGACTCTACTGTGTGACTGGGTTGTATAAATTTGAGGAATGAATGTCAAATAAAGATAAAATTCACAAAATTTGATAAAAATGCTCTTGCATTAATCAAAAGAAAATCTGTCCATTTATTACATTTTTGCACTGAAGCTTGCAGCGCACTGCAATTGCAATCAGTGCACAGGCTCCTGCATTGTTTACATCCCAGACCTACTGTTATGGGGCTGAAAAATCAAGAACAAGATAGCAGTGCCCAGCCAGTCTCAGGGCATTTTGCTGGTTTACACAAGGGAGGCTTTTACAGGTAAATAAGATGCATAAAATACGCTAAATGCACATAATGTTCAGCACAGATTGTAGTTAAAACTGGTCCAGAGACAGGGGCTCTTTAAACTTTCAGCTGTATAGGGCAACTCTAATGGCTTTCAAGTAATCTGTTGAATAGAAAAGTAGAAAAGCTACACAACAAAAGCATTTTCTTTTTACATTAAACAAAAAAAAACATCTACATGTATAGGAGAGGATGATTCTAGCACATTCCCTTTGCTAATTTAGTCTTCCTCACCACATGTGTCTATGCTGTTGAAAGTTTTGCAGCGACCTAATTATTAGAGTAGTTTATCTTCTGTTAAAGATGAAAGTAATATCAGAACATGCTTTAGTCTATATGCTGAAGATACAACATTTGAAGATGAAACAGCTTGTAAAGGTCTTCACGTGACAGAGGTAGGGGGTTTCTCTTGTGGCTCTCAGATAGATTGATCATACAGTTAAACCTCTTCTTTCGACTCAAGTAGTATTAGCTACAGGTTTAGTTTGATAAAGACACATGTCCATCCAATTTAAGAACTGACTGGGGCAGTAATTAGTATTGCTACTTAATGATTCTGAGGCTTTGAGATCACACGTGTCCTGGGAGCAGTATTTGTGAATTAAAGGTAAAGGTCTTCTTTTAACCACTTGCCCTACAGAGGATTTTCCCTCCTTCCTGACCAGGCCATTTTTTACATTACTTTAACTGACAATTGCACAGTCATGCAACGCTGCACCCAACTGAAATTAGCATCCTTTTTTTCCCCACAAATTGAGCTTTCTTTCTGTGGTATTTGATTGCCTGTGCATTTTTTATTTTTTACACTATAAGAAAAAAAAAAAAAAAGTGACAATTTTGAGAAAAAAAAAAAAAACAATATTTTTGTCTTTTTGCTATTAAACAATTCTAGTAAGAAGATTTTTTAAAAAATCTAATTTAGTAAAAAATTTAGGCCAAAATGCATTCTGCTATATGTCTTTGTGAAAAAAAAAAGCCAATACCTGTAAATTAATTGGTTTGGAAATTTATAGCGTTTACAAATGGCGGTATATATACTGGGATTTTAAAAAATATATATTTTTACTAGTAATGGCAGCGATCAGCAACTTATAGTGGGACCGTGGCAGGCATTCTGACACTGGGGGGAACTGACTTGGTGTCACTGACATCCCCAGTGACACCAATACAGTGATCAGTGCTAATAAAAAGCACTGACACTGTACTAATGATACTAGGCAAAAAGAGGTTAACGTGGGGTGATCAAAGGGTTAACTGTGTGCTGTTTTGCATACTGGGCTGTGTGTGTGCTTCAATGTAAGCACACTGCTTTGCAAAGCAGTGTGCAGGAGCTGACAGGGGAGAGAACGGTTTTGTTTACAAACAGTTCTCCCCCCTCCCCCCATTGGAGATGCTTGGTAATCACTGGGCGCCAGCGAGTAAGCACCAGCTGGGACCCAGTGACTGACAGCCACGAATATCAGCGCAGGTAGGGCGTGTGCGCGCCCCTACCCGGAAATGCAAAATCACGTATATATACGTAATTTTGTACACCCATGCCACCCTGTAGCAGTAGCTCTGCTATAGGGCAGACGAGAAGTTAAAAGAAAAAAAAATAGTAAGACAGCACGTGATTTTTTTTTTTTTTTTTTTTTTAACAGGACCCTGCAGAAATTAGATTGCAGGTGCAAGGTCAGCCTTCTGTACAGTCTTCCTCCAGCTGTGTGTCCATATCTCCATACGGCTGTTACAAAGCCAGAGGAAGACTGAATGAACTGCTAGCATGCTGATGAGCACATGGCAGACAGGACTTGTAAAAGTGACAGTGGGTGCGGGGAGAGGAACTCCCACCCGCTGTCACAGGGTAAGGGGGGGGGGGGGGGGGGGGGGGGGGCAAAGTGACATGTTAAAACCTATATACAGGTGTAACAAGTAACATGTTGTCAGAGGTCAACTTATCCTTTAAACCAGAGGAGACAAACTCAATTTCACGGCGGGCCGTATCAGCATTATGGTTGCCCGCAAAGGGCCAGTTGTATCTATAAGACTAGATGTCCAGAGCACCCCTTACATCAGATGTCAAGAGCCCCCTCCATCGTCCATTTCATCACAGTGCACCCTCCTTACCTAGTGCTGCTGCTGGGAAGAAGCTGGGGGTAGAGCTGGGAAGCAAAAGGTACAGGGTCTGAAGAGGACCAGATTAGGGCTGGAGTCAGTTGGCGGAGTCTGCTAAATGTTGACACCAGAGGAGGTAGAGACGAGGGGGTGCTGCGGTGGCACAAGATCTTTAGGAGGAGCTCTGTCCTCCTCTCTGCTGCCTGTTGAGAAGGGGGGGGCAGAGACGAGCCTCTCCGCAGATCTAGCAAAGGAGTTCTGTCCTCCTCTCTGCTTCTGACTGCAGAGACAAGGTGGGGGTGGAGAAGAGCGGGGTGCCGCAGCTGTTAGAGAGGTGCAAAGGCCACATGAATTGACCTAGTGTGCTGGATTCAGCCCAGAGTGCTTGTGTTTGACACATAAGTACTCTGGGTATTTACATCAATTTCCTCAAGTGCTCCAATTTCATCACATAGTCTAAAGACAAATTAGTAGGATAATTTGCTCTAGGACTACCTCTGGAAGCGTTTTTTTGATGAATGTAACTTTTCAAATCAGGCCACGTGGCCCTGCTGTACTGCATCCTACTTCAGGGGGAGAGAGTACTGTATAAGCTCAAAATGGTAGCTTATCACTAGTCAAAAGTTATTAGGAGATATGCTGTGATGTGGGCATGACACAGGAAATAATATGCTAGGGCCGAGCAAGAGGTGATTATGCCTCTGAAGGTTTCCACCTGTAGTGCACACTCTAAGCTGTGCTGGCACCACAAGAGATGCCTTTGTATTCTGGTGCCATGACTGCAGCCTATAGGAACGGTTATCCAATCAAGGCCAAGATTTAATGCCCTCTATAACAGAATGCTGGTTGGAGATCAATATTAAACACAGGGCAATTGATTAGGTATAAGGATAGCTACAGGTTGAAAACATAGCATTTACTGATAAATATGTAAATGTTTCAGAACAATATTAGAAGTCATTGAAAAAAATCAAGGTGAGAGAGTAGTGATGAGCTACAATCTGTAGGTGACGTGCAGCCTGACATTCCTTTTGTCCCCAATGGCAGTTTACACCAGCGTTTTTCAACCAGGGTTCCTTCAGGTATCTTCTGGGGTTCCTTCAGGTAACTTCTGGCTTGTACACAAAAATTGTACACAAGCCAGCAGGTGAATCAAACCAGTCTTAGTTACACAAAGCCACAGGTTTTCATTGTGCACCATTACAACTTTCTAGCTGCTGACGACATAAAAAAAAACCCAATGATGTCAACAGCTGATGAAAAGGACATTGGGCCCCCCGCACAGCATCCTTGTTTACCCCTCCCCTGCTCATCTCCATCAGCACTGGGGTCACATTAGGAGAGTGAGAAACAATGGAATGCTAGACAGTACCAGTGTACAAAGGTATATTTGCTTTGGAAGAATAAATCACCTCTGACGGTGGGTGTCCCACATGTGCAGATGTTGCAGTGTTTTTTAAAATGGTGTACGATTGTGAATTTTAGAGGGTGCTTCAAGATTGTGTAGAATTTTAGAGGGTGCCTCCAGAGTGTGCAGAATGTTAAAAGAGTGCCTTGACTGGGAAAAAAAAAAAACAAAAACGAAAAAAAAAAAGTTGGGAAACACTGTAATAATAGTAGTATTACATATATATAGTATAACAAGTAGTAATAGTGGAAGTAATAGGCTGCTCAGCAAAGGAAAAGTTTCTAATTTATCTCAAATTAAACTTTTACATACAATTGTGTTATCAGATCTTCTTACACACCTGCAATTTTCTTTTGGAACTGCAAGCAGCTGAAATAGATAATGAATATGACACCATACAGGCTTCTATATAAAAAAAAGAAAGAACAGCAGACAATCACATACTTTCTCCTGAGGAGCAGAGGATCCATGCTCTGCTATTTCAAAGCTGTCTGCCTTCACTAGAGGGGAGCTCTTCATTGTACTGAAGCTGGCACTGATGTCATTCCCTTGACCCTAAAGAAAGCAAAAATACAGTTTTAAAAAATGTCAACTGCATATAACTGTTACCTGGCATATACACTTGGTCAAATAGCTAGGATCAGGGCAAGGTATGCATAAAGTCAGCAGCAGGATACAAGCTGTATGAAGCTCCCCTTGCCCTTTTCAGACCTAAAACAATAATTGAGAACTTTTCAGGTCATAGGTAACTTTTAAATCTTGTTACCTTCCACGCCCATAGGGACACCCTACAGCCCTCCTATGTTGGGCCATCTGTCTGTTGGCATGTTTTTCTCCATGATGTACAGGTCTTTGGATTTCTCGCTGAACTGCATATATTAAGATTCTTCACTTGAGTTTTGAGGTCGAGACTTTTAGCCGTACCAGCTTACCAGGCTAGTTTTGGATAGAGTGGAGAGGGATTAGAACCCCCTGTAAGTTTTTATTGCGGTCTGTGCCCTCATTAAAGAGATTCACCCTATTTTTCCTGTTTGCCATTATCATTGAAAGTAAATAAAATTCCAAAAATTGGGTTGTCCCCAGAAAAGTAATTGAGAGGAAATATTCCAACTGAATGGACACTAGTTCTGGTAACCTGGGAGTCTCCAAGGGATTACCTTAATTTTAATTTACAGGGATTTCCACTCACTTCCTGTTTGGCTATGGGACAGGAAATCTCAGAAAAAAATAAAAATAAATATAAGTATATATATATATAAAACGGGGTTATAACCCCCCCCCCCCTTTATCTAAAGTGAAAAAAAAAAAAAGTTTTGCCTACAGTTCTACTTTAACAATCATCTGCCCCCAAACTTCATGGCACCATGGAATTGGATTATGTATTTAGAACAGGCTACATTCACAACTCCCATGGATTAATCCATGGATAAAAACAACCCGTCTGACAATTGTTGGGGTATGTTCCTGCCACTTACAATTAGATGGGTGGCAGTCCCTACCGCCTGTTTTTACTGCTCCCTTTCCCTTTGTGTAAACGAGGCTTTGGTTTAAAAGTTACCTGGATAAGCAGGATAACATCTTTAACATTACAGAACAAATCCAGTTCAATAGGACTACTACTAGCCACCCCAAAGGCTTAGTTTACACTTTACTGCTGGGGGGAAAGGGCACTACAGCACTGTTATTTGCAGTGTTCGGACAGTCGCTGCTTGGTTCTTACAGCTTTTCCAATCTATCCCCCACTATCTAAGTAAACCCAAAAACTAGATCAGTGTGTAAGAGTCAGCTACTTCCATCAGAGTGATCCCAGGAGTGTTTATTTCTGCAATAGAAATGACTGTGCATGAATAATCAAATCTATTTAATCAATTTATATTATTTTATTCTGATGATCAGCAAATAAAGAAAAAAAAAAAAGAAAACACTGCAGTTATCAGAATTTAGTAAGTACTGTAGGATGGTGAATGCTGCTGAATGAGATAAATTGCCTGTTTGTGTTTGCAGTTGGGATTGTGGACTGTACATGCTGCCAATACTATAATACAATGTATATGGTGCATTTAGTCAAAGTTCACTTTGATGGTCACTGAAATGTACAGGAAAGAAAAACAACAAAATAGAGCAATTCCAGTTGTTCATGCCTGTATTTAAATTTCCCTCTGGGACAATTTCATTGGGATTCTGTTCTCTTTTTAATATTTGGTCAAAATTCACAATCACTATACCAAGTAATACCAACAAGTATCTAAAAGCTGAAATAGGAAAGCAGTCATCCTAATGTAACTAATGGTGGATTTTTTTAATGCTTAGTTTGTAACATACAGTACATATATGGCAGTAGCCGTATTTCCTCACTGAAAGTTATGTTCCCTGCTGTGTAACACTTGCAGAATGATTGTGACTTGCTTAACCCCTTAAATTGCTTAAAACCTATTACACAGGGCCTGCTGATTAAATACGTAAGATCCCCTGCAGTCTCTAGGGATGTGAAGCAACCGCCATTGTCTTGTTTCCACAGATCATGCAATCGTTGCCTGAGTTTTGAGGCACCTTTTATTTATTCATTGTCAAAGGTGTCATTTTCTTTCAAAGCAGCTTTAAAGGTAAAGATCCTGAAATGACATATAGTCCCTAACTGTTGGCAGAGATGTCAAAATTTTAAAGAATGGCTAACAGACCCTGAATCACTAATGTTTGGCACCAAATTTGGCAATTTGACATCTCAGAACTAAAGTATTAGCTTTTAGAGTCATCAGTCTTGGGGCCTGATTAGGCAACTGTGTACTTGTAGTGGTTCAACAAGGCTAGGTTCACATCTGTGCGAGTGGTGCTGCTGTGGATTCGCACAAAAATCTGCGCAGCTGCACCACCCACACAGAAGAATGCAGACCCATGGGCGGATGCCATTAATTCTAACAACACGCCGTCCACACTGGAAATCACAACCGTACTGGGAACGGAGGTTCCTGTGTGGGCTGCGTTTTCAGAAGAAGTGCAGGGACTTCCTCCCTGCATGTCCCGGGACACGGGAGTCCATTCAAATGAATGGGCTCTCATGCCCACGCAAAACGTGGCCCGCAGGAATGAGAATATGTGAACCAGGGGTTAATGTTCAGTGAGTGTTCTGGTTCATGTGGGTTCAGGTTAGGGCTTGGGGAGTATTTTAATATTAAAGTGTAACTTCACTCTCTCAACCAACATAGACTATTTTTTATCCTTATGTTGCTAGCATTAGTAAATACATAGGAAAGTATTTACTTCCCGGTTTCCACGACTAGAACATTCATGTCATAGATGGCAGGACTGTTCAGGAGGGGAGGATGGGATTTCTCAGCCAAGCACATTCACCTGCCTGCATGCTTGAGGTAAGGGCAGATAGATTTCAGGAAGCAAATGCTACATGACTTTTCTGCCCTTACTCAAGATGGCCCCACTGCCAGGAATGCAAGGGGGTATTTTTCAAAGTGATTTCTACGCAAAATCAAGCATTGAGACATGGATGGAGGAGTTTCTTTTGAATACTAAAAATGAATTAAATAGCGTTTTTTGGTTTGTGATGCTCAGATAAAGTGTAGTTCTGCTTTAACTGTTAATTTTTGAGGGTCATCGAGGCTATTACTTATGGAAGTCTGACCAGATCATCATGTTACTGGAGAAGTTATTTCAACAAACATGCTGACTTCTTACACAACTGAGGTGAGAGCATCTGCCAGTCTGAGTGGCGTTCATGCGTAATGCATGCCACATAGAAACAATTGTTAAAGCACCGCATTCTTATAGAAAGTTATAGGTACAGCTTACAGGTCAGGGACATAGGTGCACAAGATTATTTTCACTTGTTTTTGTTGCCCAATAGTCCTAGCCCTGTGTCAGAAACAGTTACTGTTACAACTGGACTGAAACCTAACATACTGGTAAGGACTGTACTCAGCTAAAAGCTCTATCCAGTGGTGAAGGCAGCTACTGTCCAGTCCCTGGAATCGGTATTCATGTCAGGGCAATGCACACCTAGGCAGCTTTATGACTGCCAAGTAACAACTTGTCCTGGATGGCTTCCTAGAATGGGATACTGACACTCTCAAACACTAAAAATATCCCTACACAGAGCATCTGCCAGGTGCCCTCTAAAACACTGGCACCTATGCCACTTAGGTACAGACTGATGTACTGTTTAGTAAGGGCATGGAAATGCCAGCTTTAAGATGGAAGCAATAAGACACTTATCACATCTACATACTTTCATCCAGGTCTCAAAATCATATCCTACTCTAATAGAGACAGCATTCTGCAAGCACTTGGAGGATTAAACTGTATTTAGAAGTCTAGATTAAGTCAATCGGGCCCTTAATAAATCTCTCGGTGCCTTTGTGGACATGCCAGGCTGACACCGGGGCCAATCTTGCGTGGGCGGCTCATCAGGATTATTTTATGATCCATCTGGAACACAGCAGCTAAATAAGCAGTTCCCATTGCTGGCCTGTGGTTTAATTATTACAAGTAGATTGCAGTGTAAGAGCAGGGACAGGACTGAACTCAGGACATGCATGAAGTCTACTCAAACGCAAAATGATATGGCTTGAAGTTTTGCATTAAGCATGACAAAGATGCATAAAAATACTGAGGCTTTTTCACCTGGAAAAAGACATCCACTTCCTTAACAAAGCATCCAATCACTATTCTAAAGCTTTTAGCCCATGGGCACCAAATGCCAGCATTTTTGTCTGCCCAGGAGGCACAACCTCAATGTCCAGCCCCACTGCCAGTAGCCTGTCAAAATCTACGATGGGCTGAAATATGTTGAGGTGGGAGGCTGTACTGAGTGGTACTTGCATTTAGAGCAGTATGCCTGGAATGCAGGTATTCAGACAGGAAACTGGCATTTGCCTGATTTTCCACCAAAATATCATTATCACATTAAACTCTCCAAATAACTACATGACATAATCTTCCCTTAACCTCCTTGGCGGTATTCCCGAGTGTAGCTCGGGGTAAAATTTCTATACCAAGAGCGGTAACCCCGAGCTACCATGCGGCGCTGCTCTGGGGGTCCCTGCAGCCCTTACCTTGTCCTTCGCTCCTGCGATGTGTCCCCTCCAGCGTCCCCGGCCATCTCCTCCGGCCAATGCCGGCAACCGGCTTCTGTGTTCCGGTCCCTGTGACGTCGGGACGTACGGGCGCCGGAACCGGCGGGAAATTTGAATTTTTTAAAAAATGTCATTTTTGCTGTCATTGCTATTTCAATGCATTTCACATACATTTTGTCCCTACTGCTTTGTCCTGTGCCCTGCCTGCATTTTGACTGTTCTTTCTGCCTGGAAACTTAGAAAAGTCCATGGCGTCCAAAAAGCGTCCCTTTACGTCAAAAGCGGTTTTAGAACAGCTATAGTAAATCAGAACCACTTGCAGAATTGAGTGATAATGATTCGTGGGGAAATTCGACATCAGACACTGAAAACAATTTTGCGACTTTGCTCAGCGATGTGCGAATTTGCCTCTGTATTTCAAATTTCAGTGTTTTTGGTTTGATTATACAATTTATGATTTCGTGTTTCAAATTTTATCATATCCAGAATGTTTACTAGACTCTTGTTCGGACAGATTTCAGTGAGTTATTCCTAAAAATTACAGCCTACAATAAAAAACTACATATTTCCATGCAAAAAAATGGTACCGCTTTCAGCACAAAAAAATCGGAAAGAATCATGCCGCCAAGGAGGTTAAATGGTTTCTCCGAAGAAATGCAAGATACATTTCGTTAGACTGATGATAAAAGCAACTCAAAAAAACAAAAGAAAAAAAAAACTAAAATGAATTTATTTAGGTAGTCCTCCACATTACATAGCATTGGTAAACATGATTAATTGTAGAATTGTACAGTATTGTATTCAATTTTACTTTAAGCTAGGATTGCATGCGTAAATGTAATTATTACAACACCGGCTAATGCACATCAGTGTTTTTCCAAATAGGACTTAATGGTTACAGGAAGGCACACCCACCTTTTCGTATTCATTCTTAGCCTTGCTCAACATCTCCAGGATATCTATGGGTTGGGATCTACATCCATTAATTGGACTTTTTAGATTTTTTGCCCTTTCAGTCTCCTGCTGTACTACTCTGGAAACAAAAAGCACAGATTATTACTAGCATGGGTCTGCCAATTAATTTCTTCTATACACACTTATTTAAAAAATGATCAATACAGTGTCAAGGCTTAACAGCGAATACTGCTTTTTCAATTATTATGCATTTTAATTTAGTCATATTTATTATAATTTATTAGCAACTATCACATTTTAACATAATTGCTGCAACGTGTTTTCATATGGTACTAAATGACATATGTACACATCTTGACTTACAGGTTGTCCTTCTGGTGGCAATCTATACATTTAGATCCCCTGCATAACAGTAAAGATAAGCTTCAGGTTCACTCACGTTCGACCTGAGCACAGCCTGTTCACGTTTTGCCAGTTCATGAATCCCCAGATGCGGTTTGTATATAAACCATTCTGCCATTGAACAGCAGCAGCACTATCCATGTACACCATACTCATTGAATCGAGAAGGGAAGGGGGGGGGGGGGTGGAAGCCCCCCTTACTATAAAGTGGGTTTCCAGATTACAAGAAGTCCCCTCCCCCCTTCCAATAAGCCTCCATATCTTTTTTGGGGGGACAGGATATGGGGAGGGATGAGCGTCTTACTTTCTCAACATGGAGACAAGATGCTTTGCAGGTGGAAAGGGGGGGGGGGGGGTGATGGTTTTGGCCATCTCCTCCTTGCAAGGTACCCTGCCAAAAGTAAAAGACATGTGGCCCGATATGGCTCAGGAACAGGGAGGGGGAACATGCTCACTGCCTTCCTTTCCTTGGCTACCCAGGCTGTATGCCTGGATCAGGGACTTTTATCAATTTTAAGGGGGGCCCCCCCCAAGCCATTTTTATGTCACTTTCAAAGGCTTAACTAGCACTGTTCTATAACGTCACACGCAGCTTTAAAGTGTTACTAAACCCCAGACCCTGCATTCACTATATTCGGTCTCCCCCACAGCACACACAACATGGAAATGCAATTATTTTAATAAATATAAACTGCTAAATAGTATAAAATGTGAACAGTGAGCGCAAAAGGAAAGATGGAAACAGCTAGCACAATGTGGCATACCCTCCGCTTCCACTATACAGACATATAAACAAAAAGGTGCAGGGCTAAAACCTTTTGTTTATATAAACTGCTAAATACCTTTTCTCATCAGCAGTTAGAGCAGTCTTGTGACTTCAGCAGAGAACTGGTTAAAGCTTGTAGGAGGAGTTTTCTTTCTGCTCTAGGAGGATGTGAAACCTCTGACCCTCTGTCTGGACAATGCTGATTGGCCCTGTGCTGATCATATGCACCCTCCCATGGAAAAAAAAAAACCAACTCTCTAGCTGAGCATGTGACCAAGCTGAGCATGTGACCATGGGTTTAGTCTGTATCAGGTGGTAATTTCAATTTCAAGAGGGGCAGAGAAAAAAGGATCAAACAAGGATTAACCCCTTAGGTTCCACAGTAAGTATATTGCATATACAGACTGATTTTACTGTTGTGGGTTTAGTAACATTTTAAAGGCATCTTCCCAAACATGTTATTTAAATGATGTTCAACGTTCCTCTTTAAGCCTCGTTAAAAAGACCCACTCCCTGTTAAACAGTATTTCTTTAAAAAGTTTGCAGCTCGAAGTTCAGGAAAATCGCAAGATTTGACTTCAACAGTCTTCAAATGGGGATCGGCACTATGTATGGGACTTGTGTACTTCCCACTGGAATTGCCAAACTATTCAGTCCACCTATCCCTACTTGACAGCAGCTCAGATAACAGATAAGCCACATTGTATGTTGCTTTCAGTTAGTCTAATGCAGGCCATAGATGGGTCGTTTATCGGCTGAATTTTCGCCCGCACGAAAAATCGGCCGATAATCACGCCGTTAGTGAGGCCAGCCCGTCGGCCGTTTTTCTCGGATCTCCTCATTTATTTTTATCAGTCATGCTGGAAAATCCGCAAAAAAAACAGCAGTTTTTCGTGGACATGGGTGGCAGCATCAGCAACGGGACCGACCAATTGTTTGTTTATTGGCCTAAAATTTGGCCGATGAACGGCCCGTCTATGGCCTGCCTTAGATTGATAGACTTGCACTGAGAGAGAAAACCAGTAAGGCACAATTCTCTGTGCAGGAAGGAGGAAAAAGAACCTACATTGCAGTGAGCAAATTTATCTTCCCCATGTATATAAAACAATGATCTAAAAAGTCCAAGGTTCAAAACATCATATATTGTGCTTTGTAGCTAACAGCTTTTTTTTTTTTTTCCCGAAAGAAATTCAACGTGAAAATGTCTACCATTACATCTCTAGTGCAGAAAGTTTTCTCTCAGACCTTGACATCTTTACTTGGTCACTAACCCCGCCCTTAAAGTTATTAGATGGCAGGTAGACTTTAACCACCAGCCTACAGGGCACTTATACCCCCTTCCTGCCCAGGCCAATTTCCAGCTTTCAGTGCTGTCGCATTTTGAATGACAATTGCGTGGTCATGCAACACTGTACCCATATGAAATTTGTATCATTTTTTTGAGACAGATAGAGCTTTCTTTTGGTGGTATTTAATCACCTCTGGGATTTTTATTTTTTCTTAAAAAAAAACAAAAACCACTGAAAATTTTGAAAAAAAAAGTTTTTTTCTTAGTTTTTGTTATACAATTTTGTAAATAAGTGATTTTTCGCCTTCACTGATGTGCGCTAATGAGGCTGCAGCGATGGGCACTGATAGTCTGCACTGATGGACACTGATAGGTGGCACTGATGGACACTGATGAGGAGGCACTGGAAGGTTGCACTGATGGGGATTGGCAGGCATCACTGATGGGCACTGAAAGGCAGCACTGATACATGACACTGATAGGCAGCACTGTTAGGCAGCACTGACTGGCACTGTTAGGCGACACTGACTGGCCCCTGATAGGCAAAACAAACTGGCACTGATAGGCGGCACTGATAGGTGACATTGAAAGGCAGCTCAGATGGGCACTGATATGTGGCATTGATGTGCACTGGCATGTGGCACTGATGAGCACTGACAGGTGGCACTTCTGGGGCCACACTGATCATCAGTGCCCTGATGATCAGTGTACATGTCCCCTCCGCGGAATGCAGATTACTGGCTCTCCTCTCGAGCTGTCAGTGTGACAGCTCGAGAGGAAAGAAATGCCGATAAAATGGCATTTCCGTGTTTACAAGTAATCAGCTGTGATTGGACACAGCTGATCACACGAGCGAGCCGACATCTTCGGCTCTTTCCGTGATCCGCTGTGTCCGGGTGGTGAATGTTGGTGGAATGGAGTTAAACAGGAATACCTGCACATTGAGTCTATCACACAGCACCTGCTAGACATAGATTTGTGGTCATAGAACTGTTTAAAGGTATCGGTATTTCAAGTGAAATTTCATGGTAAATCTAAGGCTACGTTCACACTAGCTTTGTCAGCAGGTGTCTGGCCATTTTGGGAAGTGTTTTTAACGCTTCTCGAACGCCTCTGAAAATTCTGCACAGGACAGGACACAGTGCTGTTCACCACGGAAGAGTTAGCGTCACGGCAAAGCTGACGCCTCTATCGCGTTTTCAGTCAGGAGGAGTTGAAGCCTAATACCATTTAAAGTTCTATGGTGTTTGGCTCAGGCGTTTGGGGTGCAGTTGCGAGGCGCCTTTGGAAACATTTGCGGAGCAGGCACCATTAAAGTACTTCTATAGGAGTTTGGGTGCGGTTTTAACGCTTGGCAAATGCCTAACAACCCCTTAATACCGCGCTTCTGGTGACGCCGCTTTGGAAACATTTGCAGAGCGTTAAAAACGCTTCACAAACGGCCTAAGGAATAGCGCCCCCTCAGGGGTTCGGTCAACCTTTCTAATGCCTGCGACCCCTTAATACAGTCGTCCTCATGTTGTGGAGTTGAGCGCCCCCAACCATGAAATTTATTTTCGTTGCTACTTCATAACTGTAATTTTGCAGTGGGAGGAATAGCGCCCCCTCGTGGGTGTCGGTGGGGGGAGGAATAGCGCCCCCTCGTGGGTGTCGGTGGGGGGAGGAATAGCGCCCCCTCGTGGGTGTGTCGGTGGGGGGAGGAATAGCGCCCCTCGTGGGTTGTCGGTGGGGGGAGGAATAGCGCCCCCTCGTGGGTGTCGGTGGGGGGAGGAATAGCCCCCTTCGTGGGGTGTCGGGGGGGGGAGGAATAGCGCCCCATCGTGGGTTGTCGGTGGGGGGGAGGAATAGCGCCCCATCGTAGGGTAATATGCTTATGGAAACAGGAAGAATAGCGCCCATCGTGGGGTGTCGGGGGGGGGAGGAATAGCGCCCCATCGTGGGTGTCGGAATAGCGCCCCATCGTGGGTTTCGGATAATAGCGCCCCATCGTGGGTGTCGGAATAGCGACCCCTCATGTTGTGGTGGGGTCGGAATAGCGCCCCATCGTGGGTGTCGGAATAGCGCCCCATCGTGGGTGTCGGAATAGCGCCCCATCGTGGGTGTCGGAATAGAAATAGCCCCCATCGTGGGTGGAGGAAATAGCGCCCCATCGTGGGTGTCGGAATAGCGCCCCATCGTGGGTGTCGGGAATAGCGCCCCATCGTGGGTGTCGGAATAAGCGCCCCGTCGTGGGTGTCGGAATAGCGCCCATCGTGGGAGGAATAGCGCCCCATCGTGGGTGTCGGAGGAATAGCGCCCCGTCGTGGGTGTCGGAATAATAGCGCCCCGTCGTGGGAGGAATAGCGCCCCGTCGTGGGTGTCGGAATAGCGCCCCATCGTGGGTGTCGGAATAGCGCCCCGTCGTGGGTGTCGGAATAGCGCCCCGTCGTGGGGGGTCGGAATAGCGCCCCGTCGTGGGTGTCGGAATAGCGCCCCGTCGGGGGAGTCGGAATAGCGCCCCATCGTGGGTGGTGGGTGTCGGAATAGCGCCCCACGTCGTGGTGGGGGGAGGAATCGGCGCCCCATCGTCGTGGTGGGGAAAATAGCGCCCCATCGTAGGGTCGGTGGGGGGAGGAATAGCGCCCCATCGTGGGTGTCGGTGGGGGGAGGAATAGCGCCCCAT